TTTTCTTGAAGGATTTGAAGTCCTGCAGTTCCAGGCACAGTAATTGTGCCCGCTTGAAGGCTTGCCACTTGGGTCCATCATCAGGGTCCGTCTCTTCGGCAGATGCAGCGGCATCTGTCAGCGAGAGCAACCTCAGTGCAAGCAGTCTGGAATGAGCAGGGAATCGAGGTAATAACGTAACATGTCACAGGATTCCCTAGGCTCTTGAAGCCTGAGAACAATCCAAAGCAGACATGACTCTAAGGGAAACTGCTCGTAGGCTGCCGGCGGCAAGTCTCAGCCATCTGAACCTTGAACCCCAAACCAGTCTCCAAAACCCTGAAAGAATTCGACACCCTTCCCTCAATACATGTCGGCCGCACAGACCAGAATAGGTCTCTCTTGAAGCAGGCGGTACAACTCCCAGAGGCCTTAAGATTTATGAGGAGTATGCGGGCCCTTTATGGGGCTATAGCAGCTAAAGTCCATACTCCTAGTACCCCCTTAATAAGCCCTAAAATAGGAACCCTATACAAGCCCCCAAAAAAAACCTTTAAGGAGTTTAGACTATAGCTCATATGGGAGCTGTTGTCACGGAGTCCTCAATCTGAATAAAGCCATGTCTCCTGACCTGCGGCCCTAAGTAAGCATCCTTTATTTGTACTTTAGTTGACATTCTTTAAAGGGGATGATATAAGGTTATATAGGGTTTAGGGTTTGGGGTTTAGGGTATACGGTTTAGGGTCGAGACTCCTTAAAGTGGGTTATGTGGGGTATTATTAAAAGGGAGTCCTATAGGGCTTATTAAGTGAGATACCAGGAGTTTAGACTATAGCTCACATAGGGAGCGCACCTTGAATACTCAGGGAACTGAACTCAACACTAAAAACCCCCACTCCAAAACTAAAACCACTGAACCCTCAACCCATTTAGGCCCAAACAAGCCCTAAACGCCCTAAACCCTAAACTGTCAACCTAAGGACCCAAAGCCCCAAATTCAAAACTATGATACCTTCGAAACCTCATTTAGGATCAATGATTCACTTGGAGGGTCAGGGGGACCTAGTAAGTATACTTATAACCCCTATAAGGCTCCGTCAGTTCGACCCTCCAAGTAGGGCTGAAGCCCGTTGGAACCCCCCAAAGCCCCAATCCAAGGCACTCTCTCAGGGTGGCGCTGCCTTGCCAAAGGGTGCTTGTCTTCAAAAGTTTCGTGTGGGAAATGCAACATAATAGAGGGGCCTAAATTAACACCAGTGTCATTTTGAGGTCTATTTGAGGTACCCCAGACCCTCACTACACAAGGAATCTAGAACTTCGATATTGGTAATTATGTAGGCCCTTATATGATCACTGCTTGAGAATGTGCATCATAGTCAAACCACGGGCCATGTGGGCTCGCAATAAAGGACTGCAACCCTAAACCCCGCTGAAATGTCCTCCCCTCGTTGTTGCTTCAGACTTCTAGACCCTTGGCCCCGGTCCACTTCTCGTGCCTGTGAGGAGGATCTCGTCTGATACTAAGAGGATTTCGGGTTTGGGGTTTAGGGTTTAGGGTTTACGCCCAAATGTTCGTTCCGTGCCAGGCAGATCTCCCCTGATTATAAGAGGGTTTTTGGTAACACCAACACCCAAAACTCAGGACCCCATCGAGGTCACATCGTCCTTTTGGACCAAACGCTCTTTTTAGACGCCCTAAGACCTGCAACCCCTAATTTTAGGAAACCCTTTCCCCCCATAATCCCCTGCAGAATCCCAGTTTCCGTGTCATTTTCCATTTTCTTTTCCATTCTATTCTCCAGTATAGTAGGTACCCCAAATTTTGAGAACCCCCCCCCAAAACCCAATAGGGGCCCCAAATCCCTAGTCCTGTAGGGATCTGTTGCCTGCGCAACCGATTCGTCCCACGGACGGCTTAGTTTCGGAGAGACCTCCCAGCGCCAGGGGTCCTTCCAACTAGCGGTTCATTGGGTTCAGGGTTTTAGGCTAATGGAGTGTTTTGGGTTCAGGGGGTTTAAGGTTTAGAGTTCCGAGTGACCCAAGCGAACAGGCTCTAGAACCTAAAAACGGGGATAAGATACCCTAAGGTAGTCTACTGGCGTTCCAGGTGGGCGTTACGTAGAGTTTGGTGTTTACGGGTTCGGGTCCCAGGATTCAGGAGGGCTTCGGGCTTATTGGTTGAGGTTTCGTGGAACTGGGATTGATTCGGGTCAAGGAATTCTGTTGGTTCAGGGTTGCTGATGAGGGTTTAGGGTGTAGGGGTCTGCGTGGTAAGTTCAGGGTTGGTGTCACAAGTATGGATTTGTATTGATGGCTAAGGGTTTCCAATGAAGGGTCTAGGGCCTACGGGTGTAAGATTCGAGCTCAGGGTTTCGGGGGCCCTGAACAGTAACACTAAACCCTAAATTCTCCAAACTTGCCATTTACGTTGTTCTCAAGCTCTGGTAGAACACCAAAAAAACGCAGTCCAAAAAGAGAACCCAAAACGACACCCATGGTCCTTGCAAACGCCCATATGAAACGTGCCCTTTTTTGGTTGAGTGGCTTAGAGATTAAGATGGGACGTTGAGTCTAGAGTCTAGAGCTTGGGCTGTATCAGGGACCCCTCTCTGCAAGACTTTTGACGTTTGAATAATGTAAGTTGTTTAGAAAGTTGGGATTGAGGGGTATTTGAAAAAACAGACTCGTCGTCCTCACCGGCGCTGCTACTGCCGCAATTCTGAATATTACTGCAGTCACTGCTATTTCCATTTCTATACATGTAAGGACTATCTTTAGAAACTCCACCACCGTAGATAGCAGCTTCCATGTTCGTTTCCATTATCCCAATATAATCCCAATATAATCCCAATATAACCCCAATTTAACCTCTATAAAACCCTTATATACCCCAGGTAACCCCTATATACCCTAAACCCTAAACCCTAAACCTAGCAGGTCCTTCATCTGGAAAAAGCTCCGCCTCCCCGATGAGCCGGGCCAAGCCAGAGAGCTTCGATTCTGCTGCCGGGCCGTCGCTTGCCGGCGCCTTTCTTTTTGGGCGCCCCATCAGCTTCTCAACTGGCTGCTTTGCAATTTCAGCCAGTTTTGCCAGCCCCTTCGGGTCTACCTGTCTTACAGGCTGCTGCGGCTTTGGGGGCTGCTGCTGTGGCTTAGCGGGCTCCGGCTTAGTAGGTTCCTGCTGCTTTGCGGGCTCTTCCTGCTTTGCAGGCTCCTGCTGCTTCGAAGGGTGCTGCTGCTGTTGCTGCTGCTGCTTCGCAGGCTGTAGCTGCTTTGCAGGCTCTGCTTGCCTCACGGGAGCCACTGGCCGAGGAGGCTCTGCTTGCTTCGCAGGTTCTGCCTGCTTAGCGGCTGGCGGCTTGGATGGGCTGGCCTGTTTTGGCCGAATGCTTTGGGCCGGCGCTGCCTGCGACAAAGCATGCACTGCTACCCTTGCGGGCGGCAGCTCTTCAAGCCCGTCATCTTCCAGACATATTACTGGCTCCGGTATTACCGGCTCTGGTGTGGGTGGTTCCACGGGTTTGCTGACCCGGCGCTTCTTGAGCAACATCTCCGCTACCCATGGCCGGGTCCTGCTTCCTAGACAGTACTAGAAATATGACGGGGTAGTAGCAGTCCAAATAGTATGGATAGCATTCGCAGAAAAAGTGCCAACACAAACATGAGGAGACTAGTCCTATTGCTCGATTGCACCTGGCTCTCAGTCGTCTGGCTTTACATGCTGTGATTTAGCTGATTGCACTGCAAAGGTCGGTGGCAGGAGCTGGTGGGCTCTCATCCTTCAGTTCGAGAACTTGCGGCCAGTGACAAGTATGACTTCCAAAGCTGCGAAGTGCCCTTCGCTGGCTATCGTGTCAAGGGCCCTCATCACCAATGACTTGTGGTGGTTCAGCCCATCACAATTCTTCGGCCCCATGGTTTTGGGAAAGACAAAGTTAGCTATCCGTTTCCCGCAGCAAGAAGATTCCCTTAGAGCAACTTTTGTTTCTGGAAGATGTTCTTTACAAAAAGTGTGCAAAGGCTCCAGTGGAGTTTAGGATTAGCCAGTAACAGAATTTCAGACTGAACTGAAGGGTCTTCCAGAACCAATGTCGTTCTGGACCGTTGGGTTCTTACCATAACAACTGCATAAAAGAATCTAAAGGAATTTTGGTGAGAAATGTGGCCTTCATTAATTTGGTGGAAAATTAAGTTCAAGACCTTTTCTAATCCCACATGTAACTATGATTTAGCGCTTCTATATATGACAAGCATCCAATGGAAAAGTGATTAGGTACAACTTAGTTTTCTAGAGCACGGCGACAGTTTATAATGGGGGGGGGGGTGATATGAAGGGCTTTATATACTCATATTACAACTATTAGTGCAACTTGCAACTGACTGTTACTGAGTGGGGCCGTATCCAAAGTGTTTTCGTCAAGCGCTGTTGTGTCAGTCTAGAAGCGTTATCTAAGCCCTAAAAGAAATTTGACTGGAACAGCGACAGCGGTGCCTAACTATTTAAGGGGACTGGAAACATGATTTCGGCGCCTAAACCCTAAACTCTAGACCCTAAACCCTAAATAGTGGTTTCCATTTTCTTTTCCATTATCCCTACATACCAATATTGGTAATTAACGAAGGTCATTCTATGCAATAGCGATCCAGGTTCGTCTGGGTGGCCAACTGTTTAACGAAAGGGGGAGGGGACATGGTTTGTCATCAGTGGCAGGGATTGCAAGCTTGCTCCTCTGCAGATATCCTGCTAGCCCTGCCCGATCAACGGTCACATGACCTTACTACATGCAACTGAGAAATCTCAGCACGGCGAAGAATTGGTATTTCTTGCACAATTGAATCTAAACAAGCGAAGAACAAAGCAGTGAAATGCATCCATGAGCTTTTGACGCTGTTCATGGTGGCTGAAACATGGTGAGACTTTCCTACGCCTGCGATGTCTAGCTCATGGACTTTGTACATGCCAGGTGCGAAACGCGCCAGCTGACGTTGGTGCTACTGAATTTAGCAAAACATCGCCGCAGTCATGGGTAGCCTTCATTTCCTTGGGCTGGATGCATCTGGACTTTTTCAAGAAACTAAAACCGCCCAAAGAAAGTCTTAACCACATTCTAGAGACACCAGAAAGCTATTTCATCTTGAGAAACCGCATCCGCGCATCAAAGTAGGTTCAGGCGTCACAAATAGCCTTCACTGCTAGAAACATCAGATTTCCTCTGTCCTCTATTGCGAAGAAATTGCTGCCTGTTCTTTCCGAGCCTGTGATTCCACTCCTGCGCTCACGAACCTAAGTGGGGATTTCCCAAAATTAGGGGTACCATTTTGGGGGTCCCTAGAATAAGGAGACTATAGTATTTTGGGGTCTATATTAAGGTCCCCCCTATTTTGGGAAACTACCAAGTAGCACCATCCCTGAATCCAAAGTTCCTGAGCCTCAACCCAGAGATCCTACTTGGAGGGTCAGGGAGACTTAGAAAGTAGGTTAGTAACCCCTATAACCCATATACTGACCTTAGTTATCCCCCTTAACCTACTTACGAAGTCCCCCCGACCCTCCAAGTAGGGCTCTGCATGTCGAGCGGCCACCTGCGCCTGCCGCATCTGAACCACCTCAAGGATGCGTCAAGGGTTTAGGTTTTAGGGTTAATGGACTCAGGATTTAATGCGTAGAGTTCATAGACCTCGGGTTTAGACTTGATGGACCTTTTCGTTCAAACACAACCTGCAAATCCCTCAGGCGAAACCCCCTTGTTAAACTTATCAAAGTCCTTCAGGTTCCAAGTGTCCTTGAGTCACTGAGATTACCCCAAACCCTAAATCCCTAAATCCCTAAACCCCAGTTTTGTAGGACGTCCTTGTTGTTTTGGGAAACTCGTTCTTGCAACACAGGCCTGTGACCGCGCTTTGGGCCTCTTCCGTGAGACTCAACCGAGATGCCAAGGCAAATGCAAAGCATGCTGCAATGTCACTTTGCGCATCCTGGGTTGCAGCTAAGGAACTCAAATTCAGCTATCATCATATGGGTTTATAGCAAGTAATGGAATTTCCTGATTTTGGTCATCTAAGCATCGGCATTCGCCGCTTCTTTGGCGGCTTCTGTAGCTTCAGTGATGAGCTCCCTGTCCTTCGCCGTCATGCCACACCGCTCCGCAACTCCTGGGCTGCTGTTAAGGAACTTACATGAAGTTACTATAAGGAAACTCGATTAGCTACTATATACCCATGTTATGGCAACTGAAATTAAAGTTCCTGAACAGCAACCCAGACTCTCATGGAGGCCTTGTTGGCTTCGTCCAGTTGCTCCACCCGCGAAAGTGGCTGCTTCTGCTTGACGCTTGCTGCCGCTGCTGCCTGCGCGCCTGCCCAAAAAAAGGTCGGATGAAAAGTCGAAACCACATCCATGCGCATGAAATCGGGACCAGTGCTAGCTGTTAGCATGGGCATGAGTCTCATTGCTTCGTGGCCCTGCCGGGTAAAGCACGCTTTAGTGCCCTCTCCACCGAACCAGGCGGCAGGAATACTTATCCGGAGCCTTGAAAGTTGGGCTATATGGGTTCACCCATTGGGGTAATGTTGGGGTTCTATTGGGATGATGGAAAATAAAATGGAAACTACTGTAGGGTTTTGGGGTCCCTCTTACAATACGGACTATAGTATTGCGGGGTCTATATTGGGGTCCCCTTATTACCAATTGCCGTCTCGTGTTCCTCCTATACCTGTGGTAGGTACTTCAAAGATTTAAGGTTTAGGGTCTAGGGTTTAAGGCCCCAAAACCCCAAACCCAAAACCCTAAACCGAGTTTAAGGCTTAGGGTTTAGGGTTTAGAAATCAGCCTGCAAAAGCGGCTTGGATGAAGGGACCCATGCCCAGCTGGGCGGCTGCTGCAGCGGCCGCCTCACCAGCATCTCCTGGGCTGCTGCTAAGGAATTGATTTAAAGTTTAAGGTTTAGGTTTAAGGCTTAGGGTTTAGGGTTTAAGGTTTAAGGTTTCGGGTTTAGGGTTTAGGGTTTAAGGTTTAGGGTTTAGGGTTTAGGGTTTAAGGTTTAGGGTTTTAGGGTAATATGGGTTTAGGGTTTAGGGTTCAGGGTAATATGGGTATGTAGTAACAGTTCATAGGGTTATGCACATTATGATGATCATTTAATTCCCTTGCCGACTGATTTCCAGTTCACGCTCCAGGTTCCTTTTCATTTGATTCCTCCATTATTCTAATACAGGATGCGCTAAAGTATCCTAGTTCCTAAACGCTAAAACCCTAACTCCTAAACCCTAAATCCTAAACCCTAAGCCTCTAAACCCTTAAACCCAATACAAAGTAAATTCTTAACAGCAGCCCAGTGTCGCGCTTGAAGCATCGCATCGCCACCAACCTGACAGTTGGAGGCTGAGGCCCTGCGGGTGCAAGAGGAAATGTGATACATTGTGCAGTTTAGGGTTTAGGGTTTATAGGGTTTAGGGTTAGGGGTTTAGGGTTTAGGTTTAGAGATGAGACATATTAGTGTATCAACATGCACATGGATTGTACAGGGAGCATGTGGAGTTACAAGGAATTCCTCCTGGACCATGTCAGGATTGTGCCACCATACTGCACAACTTGTGGTACCCTTCAGCTTCTTCATGACAGACTGACATATGGCGCGCTGACATGTTTTTGGTGTCAGCTACCCTAGCAGGCCTCCCCAATACAAAGCACATGGGTAATCCCATTACCATGAACCCTCTGGACATACACTTTGAAGTAAGACACCTGGTATCTTGGGAAAGTCAAAAGTTGCGCCCAGGCTTGAAAACTGCCTTAGTGCCCTATAATAAAGTCCAAGAAGAGCATACCTGAACCCCCTGTCACGCGGGGCCTCATTTTGCAACATGTCCCAAGCTTGGCCTCCGTGTACACTATGATTATGTGGAACCGGCAGAGAGACGTAAACACGAAAACCCAAGAATCTCTACAACATGCCCCCACGACAAGGAACCTATAGCTTTGCAACAGAATCCCGACCCAGTTAAGTACAGAGTGCTCTCCGAGATAAACTTACGATCATGTACTGTAGGCTACAATCTGGTTACCTACCAAGCCCAAACCCTGCTTTCCACTCTTAACTTCTACATCTCCCTGTCTACTTGGAGGGTCAGGAGCACTTAGCAAGTAGAGCTGGGGTCATTATATGGCTTGTGGGTGTTTTCTATATGCCTACTAGATCCCCAAACCTCCCAAAACCCTAAACCATGCATGCTTGGGTGGTTTCCTACCCCGACTGGGTTGTGGCTAATGATCTTAAACTGAATCACCAATTTGGATATGAGGAAAATCATCGGATGTCCTTGTTGCCTAACTTGAATTCCTTAACAGCAACCCAGTAGATCGAGAACCCTACGTGCAGCAGATGCTAAACCCTAAAGCCTTAGCCCAATAGATTCAAAACCCTAAGCCCAGTAGATTCCAAACCCTCAACCCCAGACCAAGTAGACCTCAACCCAGTACATACTAAACCCTAAACCCAGTAGATTCAGGCCAACGGCTCGCTTCATAGCCCCGGCTGCAGCTTTCGCCGCGTCGGCCGCACTTACACGGGCTGCGGCGACCCGCGAGGCAAAAACCCTCTCAAGCTCCTGGATATTAATATGGGGGTTGGTACCTCAAAAAGAATGATATAGGGTGTATCTAGGGATATATAGGGATATACAGGGGTCTATGTTGGGGTCCCCGGCTTTTGGAAACTACCATTTCAGCAGGGGTTTGGGGTGTAGGTCTTAGGGTTCAGGGCTGAAGGTTTAGGTAGAAAACTCACATGGAAAGCACATGTAACATGAAATGGAGACTGAGGGTTGATAGGCATATATGAACCATAATCTAAACTCCTTAAAGGGGGTTGTATAGGGGATTATATAGGGGACTACTATAGGGGTTATCAAGGGGGATACTAGGAGTTTAGACAGTAGCTCATATAGGATTCCAGGTGTCGGGTTACCTTGCTGGTTGTCGGCGGGGATTGAAGGAATGGAAAAGAGTATGAGAGATAACGATAAAGATCCGAAAGGAACGCGGAGCCTAACAATGGCCATACATGTGCTGATCGGAAATGAAAACAACTAATTATAAGGACGCGGAGGTCGCATCACAGAAATGCAAAGGGATAATGATGGCAGTGGTTTAGAATTACATTCATGGGAATAGTAACAGCACCTCTTAGGATGGGTTTAGGGTTTTGGGTTTAGGGTTTAGGGTTTAGGGTTTAGGGTTTTGGGTTTTGGGTTTAGGGCAGCCATTGATTTTTGTACCATATGTTATCCGGCTGTCCTGCTTTCGGAACTGCTGGGAAAGGTCATCTTCCCGCTCCATGCATTGGCGATTCATGTCCAATAGGAACCTTGGGGCAGTAATTCACAACTGGAAAACTCTCTCGCAACTTAGGTTGATGCCAAAATCTTGGTGTGGGGATATATTACCCCAATAATGGAGAATCAGATGGAAAAGAACATGGAATATGAAATGGAAACTGGCATTATATGTGGTTTATAGGGTAAACATCAAAAAATCCTGCATGACGTTCCGCAACTTGTGTCGTTGGAGATATGGCATTCGGCGCGGCTTAGGCCATGGAGGGCTTTACTTTCAACAGTCTAGGGTTTAGGGTTTAGGGCTTAGGGTTTAGGGGTGATGGTCCAAAAAATGTGACGGCAATTACCACGACCACCACCACGACCGCGATGAGGACGGCGATGGCCACAACTACTTCTACTCCTACTCTGACACCAACTCTCCCTTTTGTCTCCAGTATTTTCAGGCAGGGAGCTTCAAACGGACGACGTAGTGTCACTCTTTATTCTTCCTCCTAAGCCCTACATGCTAAAACCTAAACCCTAAACCGCATTATTTGGGTTGCTGTTACGAACCATAAACTAAGTTTACCTTAATATGGGTATATACTACATACTCGGGTTGCCTTACTATTCTAACCTCATTTGAGCCATTGTCTAAACTCCTAGAATCCCCCTTTATATCCCCTATAATAATCCTCTATATAATCCCGTACATAACTCCCTTTAAGGAGTTTAGACTATGGCTCATTTCCTCAAAAAGCAACCCAAACCCTAAACCCCTAAACCCTAAACCCCTAAACCCAGTATTCAGGCACGGAGCTTCAAATATTTGTTCACCTCGGCGGACCAGTCGTCCTCAAGCGACATGGACTTCAGCTCGGCTTGAGCCTTCGACCACTCCTGTCTCAAAAATGCCCTAAGCCCTGAGCCCCTTTGAAGGGTTTAGGGTTTAGGGTTTAGGGTTTTAAGGTTTAGGGTTTAGGGTTTAGGTTTTAGGGTTTAGGGTTTAGGGTTTGGGGGTCTATAGGGATTGTAAGTGACATGTCCACCTCATGGGGAAGGTAGAGGGTTTAGGGTTCATTCCCCCAAGCTAACCTGGAGCAGCACAAGGGACCTATAGAGATCTTTGTCCTTCAAGAAGGGGCCTACATTGGGTTCCATCTTAGATTGGGGCAGGGTACTTTATGCAAGTAAATGCTTGGAGGACTCATGTGAGCTATAGTCTAA